GTGGGACCAGACTGATTTGATGAAATCTTACCCTCTCGAAGGGACTTGTATCGGTCCTGCGTCGGGAAAACAAAGTTTCCATCGGGCCTCGTGATTTTGAAAACACGATGCAACTTCACAACATCATCAAAGTCCGTTTCATTCAGCTCTTTCAACGATGCAACAAGGTAGTCACCTCTCCATAGAAAGCCATGGTGGATAACATACCCAACAAACACTCCCGGATTGGACGTGGGATCAAACTTCAAGTCCTTTTTCGGTTTCTGTCTTGGGCCAATCCAGTAGTCTATGCGACATCCGAACGGCAAGAACTGACCTTTGAACTCGTCTTCGAACCTAAGATTCCAAGGTGTTCTGGAACCAGAAGGTGGTTCACAAACATTTTGAGATAAACACCAATGCCTTGCGGCGTGCGGCCAGTATGAATGATTCAATCCGGCCTGCGCAAGTGCGACTCGAGTTCCCTCGAGCACGGTTCTGATGCTTCGTTCAGCCACCGCGATCGATTTGTGAATGTACCCTTGACTGAGGACATGTCTCCAGCCCATCTCTTCAGCTGCAGCAATTAACTCAGGGGCATTGTCACTATAAAACGTGCCAACCTCGTCTGACGAGGAAGTGAAATGCTGAAATGCCTTCACAGTAGCTTCCGTGTTTCTTTTAGCAAAAGGGTATGCATACTTGAAACCGGTGGCAACGTCACTTATGACTAGAGCAGAGTACTCATCGTCTATGCCTGGTTCCTGTTCGTCTGCAGTGATTATGAAATCGGCTGTGATGTGCTCAGCAAACTTTCGAGCATCAACTTGTCTGGATCCCCCCCGCGAGCGAGAGGGAGACTTGGTCATCTTGGCGCATTTGCACACTTCGCAGAATGGATTCTTTGGCTGGTGTGTCATTAGGTGCTTCCGTGATGCTGCTTCCTGCCTTAGGGCACTTTCTGCAAGTGATCTAGGGCTTTTCTTATCGGGATTGCCAACAACATCTTCCCCTGCCAAATCTTTACTCTCTATCGGCTCAGCAAGTTCATTTGGATTGACTTCAATGGGGTCATTTGCCAGAAGCTCGGCGACAACTCTAGCATGCACCTCAGGATCCTCTAGAGGGGCAACGCTAGGCGTATACTCTTCTTCCGCGGCATCCTCAGCTTGCACGGAGGAGGAGTATGACGATTCACTCGATGCAATGCTTCTGCCGACCTGACCTTCCGGTCGGCTTGGCGGTGTGCCTTTGGCGGGACACGCCATGGCTGAGTCACCATCCCACACGTCATAGTACGGGACATAATCTCGAACTTTGAGATATATTCTCGTCCCATCAGGCTTGACAAAGAATGGCTTATCCTTCGCATACCATATGAAGTCATAACCCTGATTCATGCACTTCAAACCTACAGAGAGAACAGAGGGTGTTTGTGGCAACAAGTATGGATCCGTGTTCCCAAGGTCACCTGCGGCCATGTTGGCCTGCTTTGACGAATCACTTGGTCCATTGGCAGTCATCAACATCACGGGGTCATTTGAATTATAAATTGCATATTCGGGGCAATTCGCACGCGTAAAAAGATCAGTCCCGCTCCCAGTGTCAATAATCCATGAACAGTTCGGAGAGAATCTCTTGCTCGCCAAGGCGGGCTTTGCGCCCATGTCTCTCGGGGCGCACTGCCAGCATCCGATCTCGCTGTCACATTCGTACTTGCATCTAGTCGGATGGCCTTCCAATTCACGCCTCACAATGAAGGCGAGCATGGTTGCTCCGAGCCTAGCATCATCTATGCTGACTTCATCATGGAAAAACTGATGGTCGATTGGGTAGACCTTCGAATACACGCCCACGATCTTAAACTGCTCACCATGTGCTGGTATCCGATTCATTTCAACCTTCGAGCTGAAACGCGGGCAGGCACATGCTTCCAGTCCGACATGAGGTTCCCCTCAGCGATGGGGGCATTCATCATGGAAGACAACAAGCATCCCAATACGCAAACAGCAGCAGGAGAAGGCTTTCCGGAAGACTTTCCCTTGTGACCCTTCTTCTTATCTCCCTTGGAATCACGGGAAGTGGATCGAGAGGTCGACTTGGAGCGATCCCTGCTCGATTTGCGACGCTTCCGATCCTTTCCCTGCTTCTTTTGCTTGTCTGCGGATGGCTCCCTTGACCCTGGAACGGCCGGCTTCGGGTCGATGTGAGCAAACGGGCAGTTTTCACCACGGTCACACCTTCCCTTGGGATAGAAACGGCACTCTTTCTTCCCCTTTGGGCTATTCGTTCGGCCTTTACCCTTACCCTTCTTAGGCTTTGCGTCTCTTGATGGGGTCCTACCCCTGGCATCGCCCGATGGCTGTTCATGCTTGTACGTGCAATTGTCCCGCCGACACGACCCATACTTGACAAATGCAATGCAAAACCCCTTAGGCACACGTTGGCTCTCAGCGGCGGGTGCGGCTGGCCTACCCCCGTTCTGCCTAGCAGCCCGTTCTCGGTTGCGCTCGAGCCTTGCTCGAGACAGGTATTGCCTCACAGATTCAATCAAGTAGGTGTATGAGTGATCGGCGGACTCTTCCGAGGCGCTCAAATAGACATTCAAGTGGTGTTGCATTTGCTTGCTCTTCTTCAGCTGGTTGTAGAACAGAGCCTCAAGCATGGAGTCATCCGGTGTCTTGGCATTCATTCCTGCAAGAACACCCTCCCAGCTACGCATGAAGGAAGTGAGGTTATCGTTCACGAGCCTCATCTTCCATGGCATAGGTGGCTCCGTGCTTGATGTTCGTGCTCAGGTGCTCGTGCACCATGAGAAGCACTTGTCTCCCACGAACTGGATTCCTCTTCTGCGCCTCTACCTCCTTGAAGGTGTCGACTTGTCTCGCCAGGTCACCCTGAATGATGTTGGTGAGGGCGGACAGCAACTTGGCGTCCAAGGTGAGGAAAGTACCGGGTTCTTTGAGCTCCTCGATTGTAACGGCGGGCTCCCACACTCTGCTGATCCACGTGAAAGCGTCATCGGGGCGATCGGATGCCGCACATACGGCTTCCCGCACCTTGATGCGCCAATTCCTGTAACTCTCAGGAAGTGGGAAGGAGGGAATGATAATCCTCTCCGCCTCCTTGACCTTGGGCTTGTCATGGTCCGCGTCCACTGCGCTCGCCTACTTACCCAAGATCTTGTTGAGCTTCTTGCGGATCACTCGTGCCTTCTCCGATGATGATGATGATGAGGATGATGATGTTGAGGAGCTTGACGATGAAGAGCTCGGAGAGTCGGAAGGAGATCCACTCTTTCGCTTCTTGTGGCTCTTCTTCTTCTTCTTCTTGTCCTTCTTGCTCTTCTTCTTTTTATCCTTCTTCTTCTTCTTCTTGTCCTTCTTGCTCTTCTTCCCATCGCCATTCCCATCGTCATCGTCGTCGTCATGATCATCGTCATCATCGGGATTTCCGGCAGGTGGTTCCCCACCGCCTCCGCTCTGGCCATTTCCTGCGCCTGATGGATCTCCACCACCGTCGTTGGGGTCCTGTGCCGGAGATGTTGGATCGTATCCATCGGCATCCCCATCAAGATCATCGGCGGCACCTGGCCCATCACGGCGGAGCTCGGTGGAAGCTGACCTGATACGTACCTTAGAACTAAGGTCCAAGCCGGGAGGAGGAAACGTCTGTACAGGAGAGGCCTTTGGCCTCAGACCGAAAATTGGAACATTTGAAGAACTACTCTGCTCACTGCGAGATTTCAGTTCATGACGTAGTGCCTCAATGTCCCTCGACTGCTTCATGATAATCTCCCTCATTTCAGCAGCGTTCCTGTCCGCTTCCTCCTTCTGCTTGTTGTGGGTGACTTCCCAAATCAATTTGAGCCGTTCATACTTCTGTTCAGCTTCTGAGCGTTGAGCAACCCACTGCTGCCTTGCCTCGTTGAACTCTCTTTCCTTCGCCATTGCCTCTTGTTGGCATACATTGATGTGGTTCACCGCGTCCTGATAGAGTCGGCCTTTTTCCTCAACGTGGCCTGCTTGGAGCTGATTGATGATGGCGTCGTGGCGTGCCGAAGCATAGGCAGCCACTTCCTCCGTACTCGGACCTGTGTTGACCACATTTACCGTCTGGCTATGTCGATATATGTTCGGGGCGCTCACATGATGTTGATGAAGGTGAGTCTCATTCTTCGTCATGTGCGCGTGCATCTCTTGCCCAGGTTGATGTCCGGCGAGAGGTTCCCCTCCGCTTCCCATTGAATCTTCCGGAAGGACGACCGAAGTGATGGGCACAAGCGCATCGCCTTGGTCGGACTCAGGAAAACTGCTTCGGGAGCGCTGTGACGGATTGCATGGCGGTTTCCCTTCCGGATGCCCACCCTTGATCAATTCGTTGGCCACTGCTTCGTTCATCCTTGCTATGGCAGGGTGGCATCCGTCGCCGCTTGACGCCATTGCGGCGCGGGTGAGAGCTGACTGTACAAGGTACCAGCGATACGGCTGATAACCTGTTGAAAGGTGGGATCTACCTAAAAGTCAGCACGGGCGGCAGCTTATTTTTACTTGAGCCAGTATCATGTCGGTACGCCATTACCTATCAACAAGTTGGATACTGATGCAGTGGCCCATGTGCAAGAAAAAACAAGGCGTTGTCCACATGCATTCTCCCCCTTGGGGCATAGTCACGGACCCGTCCTGGAAGCTTCAACCGCTAAAGAGGATCTTGAGAGAGTCATGCTGGCCACAAAAGGAGCTCATGACACGCTTATTGCCCTCAAGTGTGGGGTAGGGGCTTATTGCATGCCCATGGCGCACAGCATCAAGGGCTTCTGCGCTGACCCGTTGACTTGACCCTTCGAAGCTGGGCATCGAGCAGCCCCATGGCCAATGACCAAGTCATAGCCCTGCCATGAAAAGTCACCTAACCCTCTCGTCGGGTTTGAAAGGGTCCCATCCCCCTGTTTGTGCGAATTGTTGGGGGTCCGTCCCCTTCTGCTGCCCAAACCGACCTATGGATTTCGATTTCCAAGTCGCAAGGCGCGGGTCTTCTGGTACAGCGAGGGCTCGCTGTAGGACAGCATGCGTGCGGACCAAGAGAACAAGGCGATGGCGAAGGGCAGGCCGTCGTTCTCCGGGCTCCCAGGGCCCGACTCGAAGATGCACATGCCTCACGGCGCGGCTCGTTTCAGCGCCGCATCTTCCTCTGGAAAAGCAGCAAAACGACGGCTCCAAGGATACATATATATATATATATTTTATACATATATATATATATATACACACACATAAGGTGATCGATGTTCTTGTGATTTTGCTGTTGTGCTGTTTCTTTTCAAAACGACACAAGGCTCAAAGCAAAAGAAAGGGACTGAAGGGCCCCGTGTTTGTTGTTTGGTGTATATATTTGTTTCCTTCAACAGTTGATTCGAGGGAGGTTGCGGGATGGGTCAAGTCCCCTCTAAGCCAAAACTCGATACCCATAGCTCCTGGGCTCCCGAGCTCCTATTTCCTCGGCACCAAGAGTTCCTGGGTCATGTCCCCGAAAAAATTATGGGGGATCCCCGAAACGAAGGGGAACCCCAAGCCTAAAAAAAAAACAAGCAAACCGGGGGGAGGCCGGGGGGTTGGATTCAGCCACGCCTGCTCAGACGGTACCTACCATTCCCAAAGCTCCACTTGTAAGCTTGTCTCGTCAAAGCCTGGTTATTCGGCTCAAAACTGCCTGGTGTATTGAAAAGGGAATCCACAAGTAACCAATGACTCGTGAAGCTTCTTGCATGGGACGAGAGAAGCTCTGGCCATCAAACCTTCTTACCCACCCGCAAACAGCCGGTACATGTCGCTCGTCCCTTCCGGAAAAATACCACACAGAAACAGCTGCGCTTCCGAACTGGAGCTCGGGTCCATTTGGTGGATCCATTTCCTGAAGGTCTCTGGTTTTAAGAGATGTCAACAAAAATACCCCAGTGAGAGGTCACAATACCCACGCGAAAAGCATCTTTGAGAACCCTAGCATTAACTTGGGGTCCATTCGAAGGGCACTTTGGGTGTGAATTTTAGGGCAACCTTTGGTGGACATATCAATTAGAGAATCACGTAACCAACTTAGAATGCTCCTGATTGAAACTCTGTGCCAACTACTGAAAAAGACAGGAAAACCACTTCAGGTAAGCGAGGAAACAAACGGTGCAACGAGCCCAACCCTCCTCTTGTCCAGGCGAGTCACAATACCGAAGCCGCGACACGATCTGAAAGAGGAACTTTGCCTCGGCTCTTCTCTCAGTTCAGATTGTTTTCTATGCGCTAAGCAATCGGTCGGGCTAGCTCATTGTTTGACTCATGCAAGTGGATGGGTCGGAACAAGATGGTGGCAGTCTTCCGAAACCTGCCATGGTGCACTTCCATGATTGTTGCAACGAGGCTTTCAAGTGGTTGCATTTTGAAGGAGCATTTGAGCCACGCCCAAAACTCGATTACTTTTGGTTCTAGCAAGATCATTCTCGAGCTTCTGGCCCCAACATCTTCTCTGGCAAACAACTACTCGCAATCCGGCAAGGAGAACCACCATCAGGTTGCATTGCCCAGTTCTTCCTTGCCTCAGAAAGCCGGGTTTCGTGGGGTTAAGCTAACCTCCAGACAATCTAAGACATGGTGGCGAATGAGCGACAGCCCATGGGCAATGAGCGAAAGCTCTTTTAAGTAATTGTAATAAACAAAAAAAATGTGCGGCCAACAACAAATGAAACGAACCACTTAGATGGCCCAGGGGTCAGCTTAGGTTAGGAGTTGGTGGGTAGGAAGGGACCGCTTCCGGGAGCGTCCCAGTCCTGGGACGACCCGTGATGGACTAGGGAGCGGCAGACAGGACCTCCCGAGCATCCTTGAATTTTCCCCAGCCCGAAGGACCCCCCAGCACCATTGGGCTTTTCCCAGCCCAGTGACCCTTGTCGAAGGCTTGACCCTTGTTTGGCGCCGTTCCCCAACATCGATCTCTTGCGGCAACCACTAAGCCAGCAAAGCCACCTTTCGGTCCAGCAACATCTTACTCACCTATCCGATTCAGGGGCCAAGCCCAAAAAAGCACAAAAGGAGCCTACCTAACTAAACGCTATTGGCCCTCTTGGAATTGACGGAGCCTATTCCCTTGACACGCTTTGAATGGATTGGGACGGATGAAACCCGGTTGCCTGTGGAAACTGGCATAAACCACCTACCAACTGACTCAGGGCTTGAATGGGATATACAGCCACCATCTGGCCACTACATATACATATATATATATATAGGTAACCCACATGTATTTGTTGGTGGGGGTAGCTTCGGTTTGGGGGTAGTGGACACCGTCTTAGACACCATCTTGCGGAAGTGTCCATCTTGTCGTTCTCGGCGTCGTTCAGAAAGGCCACGGGAAGGTCGGTGGTGGCATCCGGGGTGGTGCTCAGAATCTGGCCCAGCACCTGCAGATGCTTCTCCTCAGCGGCGTCCTGAGGCCACTTTGGCACGAGGCTTTCGGGATATGGCTGTGGTTGTCAAAACCGTTTTGGGATCCCATTTTGGGGCATCCGGGGTACGGGACTTTGACCCATGGTCATATTCTCCTGCAGATGGCGAGCTCAGCTTGGTGCATGCACCAAAAGGGCCTGTCGGATCTGGCTGCTGCTTGGATGAATTCACACTGGTTGATTTGGGGCAAAGGTCACCTTTGGGCATTCTTTACTTGTGACCCATGCAAAACTACAACAAACAATTCGCATGGTGAGGTCTGATTGCTTTGGTTTGTCTTGGTTTGCTTTTTGGTTTGGCGTGCTTAGGGCTTGCTTCTTGGTTCATCAGGGTTCCCTATAGATGGGGCTTATCCTTGCCTTATCATTGGCTTCTCTTGGCCTGGTTGTTCCAGCGGTACTCTTAATGCGGATTTCAGCTGTGTTTTGGTTCGCGAATAGACAAGGAACCCAAACCACCCGCATGTCTAGAGGAACCTCACTTCTTGGGCCGCCCTTTTTCGAGCTGCAGGTTGAATTAGGCGAGTACCCTCTTTCCAACGCAGGTGAGGAATTCCCACAATTCACCTGGAACAAGAACCCCGGTGGCTTGCGAGTTTTTGGTTGCCGTCCTGGAGGTACATAAAGACGCAGGCGGACAAGAATTTGCTGAGATCCATGAGCACGTGCTGGCCGTCCTCCGACTCGCAACGAAAACCCGAGACCTTGAAGACCAAGATGTGTTTCTACAGGCCATGAAGCCAGGCAGAACTTACTGAAAAGCTTTGGGTTTTGCGCCCTCTGCCCAAGGACGCAGAAATAAAAACGGTCAGCGGTTTGGGGCCTTGACAAAAAATAGGCCAAAAAGGGAAAAACTCTTCGTAGAACTCGGTGAAACATGTTTAACCCACGATTGAAGCAACCTCCTTGGGGTCGCTGCAACCAGCAGGTAGTTTCCCCAGGTTACCCTCAAAGACAGGCCCTGAACCCTCCTTCACCGTGGCAAAGTCGATGAGCCACACCAAGCCTCAGCAATTCGATCCGGTGGCGGGCGCAGCAAGCCTAAGGGAAAATTGTCTGATATATCCGCTTCCTAACCTTCTTGGTGGGTTCACTACTAAAAAAGGTACCCTTTCCGCTTAGGAAACCACAAGGGATGGTCCAGTTCGGGGTCGTTCCCTTGCTTATCGAGAACCAGCAAAAGGTGAGACTCAAGAAAACACAAATTAGTGGGGCTATGCACTCTTGCCCTAAAATGGAAGCTGACTGCTGGGTTCAGGAAGGCAATTTCCCTCAAGGATCCTCTGGTGGGCTGCTCACTCTTTAAGAAAGATGTCATTTGAAGGAAACTGTCTTGGGGCTGCTGTTTGGTATCCTGGAAACATCACACCACCAAGAAATCTAAGCCACACCACCCCATTCTGAAGAGCTAGCCCAATTATCCCCCAAAATGGATGCAACGACAATTGCCATCAAAGCAGTCCACCCAAGCAAGGCTAAAACTCAACAATTCCAATTCTCTCCCTTTGCCGACTCCCAGCAGCCCACCAGGCCTCTCCCAAGCAGGGGCGGTCAGCCTTGCCCTTCTTGTTTTGCCCACATCCATGTCATGAATCATTGCCAAGGCGACACTGACAAACATACAGCCCGTGGCTTCACGGCAAGCATTGAAGCATCCTCCTGATAGCACCGCGGGCCCCTCATCAGCCAACCCACCAAAGTGGTGCCCGCGATCCAATTTTCCACAAGCTTCCAATTCACTTCCTCATTCTTTCAATGGGGGCCCACGCAGCAGCCCACGCAGCAGTTGTCATCACTTTCGGGAGGAAAGACCGGAAATCCTAGAAAATTGGATGCTTGGAAAGAATGGGTTTTAACCGAAAATATGGCCTCATACAATACTTCCCCATTCTTTCTGGTTTTCCAATTTTCACCCAAAACAGATGCAAAAGCGAAAAAAAATAACAACAGGGACACACTGATCTTTGATCGAAAGAACGATGCTGGGGGACAGAATGATGGGGTGGGGAAAGAAGGGAAATGATCATGGTTGTTGGGAAAGAACGATGGTTGGGGAAAGAACGATGGTTGGGGAAAGAACGATGGCCCTGGGGAAAGAACGATGGTTGTAGGGAAAGAACGATGCCCCTGAAAACAGAACGCTGCCAGTAAGATCGATGGCCTGCAGTGGCATGACTTTGGTAGGTCAGGGGAAGGGGTTGTTTAGTCTACTGGCCCTACCCCTAGCCCGCAGGACAACTTTCTGCATGCGTCAGTGCTCGCTACAGAAAAAATCAAAAACTGAGCCGAAACCGGCTGGAAAGACCGATCGTTGCACTGAGTGCTCGTGTGACGAAAGAATGGGGAATCAACCCTTAGAAGAAAGGACAAATGCAATCTTAAAAAGGCAGCAAACAAAAGGCGATGTAGAAATCAACAAGAATCGAACCCTGTTGGCTGATCAACCTAGTCAACCCCTCCAAAACCTTTCTCTCTTTCTCTTGGGGAACCACTGAGAGGATTTGCCAAAAAGAGTCCGAACTGTTTGCCACTAAAATGGTCCAACCAAAAAAGGTGCAAAGTCCATGAACTCAGGAAGTGAGTTGATCTCAATTTCAACTTACTGGTGCTCAGCGAATGAGGAATAGAAAAAACCGTCCAACTGGCGGTTTCCCTTATTCGGGAATCCCAAAACCGTTCATTCCATTTCTCATTCCCAACCCATCGGAAGAATGAGGAGAAGTCTTCTTTTTCTCTTTTTCTCTCTCTCTCTCTCTCTCTCTCTTTCTCTCTCTCTCTCTCTCTCTCTCTCTCTCTCTTGGAGAAAAAAGAAAGAAGAAAAAAGAAAGAAAAAAGAAGAAAGAAAAAAGAAGAAAGAAGAAGAAAAACCCTCCAAACAGATGGCTTCCCTCTCCAACCGTTTCACCCAGCCCACACCTCGCCGCGACTCCGTCTCTCTCTTCCCGCCTTGGGAGTCCACCAGCAGATTGCCCCCGTGGAGGTCGTTGTGGCACAGCCCGCAGACCACCCGCCGCTGCAGGGACTCCGACAGCTTCCTCGAAGCAAAAACCGCGGGACGCGGGAGACTTGGCGGCTCCGACTGGTGACATGGGACACTCGCAACCGCTGATGCTTCTGCTTCTTTTTTTATATTTTTGCTGCTTTTCGCGGCTTCTCCAGTAACTGCTCCGGAAATGGGTGTAGGGTCGAGGGTTTAGGGTTTGTGTTGTTTTGAGCTCTCTTGTTTTTTCCAGAGATTGGTTTTCGGCGCAAGAGTCGAAAGGACCAAAGAGTTGTCTCTTCCGAAAGATGGGGTTGGCTCAGGAAAGTGTTGTATGTTAGCCCGTTGAAAACACTAACCGAAAGAAAATGCCCAGGTTCCCTCAAAAAAAACCACATCCAAACAAGGACTAGAAGTGATCAGCGATAACCCAGTTGTGGAGACTTGGGTTTTGGGCAATCGGCCCTCCGTGCATAAACCACAACCTCTTTGGGAAGACTGATTTCATTTCGGAAAGAACCAAGCCATGAAAAGCTTCGTTTGGGTGGGTGGGACACTTTTGGGTTGAGACTTTGGATGAACATCCTTCCACAGAAACCGTCGAATGAACAAGGACCCTGGGCCGTTGCCACCTTCGCCTTTGGAAGTCGCTTTGCGAGCCCCATTTCTCATGACTCACCAACCGAAAATCAGGGGCCCCAAGAAAAACACCTCGTCGCAGTCTCCAAAACAAAGGCAAGATGGTAGTCGAGCCAACCAAATAAAGCCGTGTGCGTCGACTCCCCAGATTCTGGATCCCCCCCGCCCTTCTTTCGCAATGGGTCCCACCTTCCAAGGATGCTAGCTGGATCTTCAAGTTCCACATGGTTCAACTTGCACGCATGAACTCGTTTTCATGGCTCGCAACGTCAGGCAGGAATATGCTGAAGCCTCTCAAAGCGAAACTGCTTGGTGCCAATCAAAACAAAACAACCAGTCTATGTGAAAGTGGCCAAATGATCTCACCACGTCCAAAGTCAATGCTTGAAGGCGGTGTCTGACTTTAACCCTAAGAAACTGCCAAAATCGATCTTTCCTGCTGGAGGTCTCTTGTCCTTTGCTTCGGTTTCTTAACCCTTCACTTCGCTTTGGCTTGTGTATGACTCAACTCCGAGCTGCTGTTCCATGCCCGCGAATTTCTGGAAGAGCTCCCGCACAGTCTGCTTCTTCCCTTCGGATCCGAAAACGATTCATCCCGGCAGAACGCCAGAAGCGACGGTCGGCGGGTTGAAGCCGTGGCTTTTTCGGGACTAAACGGGTGACCCCTATGGGAAACCTAAGAAATAGGTTCCTAACGGGATGCCAGAGACATGATTGTGCCAAGAATTCTGAACCTGCTAAAAGCCCGTTGAATGGGTCTCCTCACAGTGTCACACCTAAGCCGCCAACAGGTTGCTCCTCAAAAACGAAGGAGACCCGCAAATGTTGGGATGCAACGCTTGGTTGGTGCGTCAAACAACGGAGCCTGGCTGAGACTGCTTCCCGCTGAGATTGCCGCATCGGCTTCTTGACGCCCACAACTAAAACATGTGCCATGGTTGTGTGGTGTACGGTTACCATACTTGCAATTACCGTGTGCTTTGTTTCCCCCGGTATGGTTTTGTGGTCAAGTATGGTCCTCTTCTACGTGCTGTTTGCGTTTTTGGAAACCCTTGCGTCCACCAATTGCCTTTCGAGTTGTTGGAGTTCCCGGAGCTTGATAAAAATGCGATGGTCACTGGACTTCTTTTGGAAACGAAAAAACGATTTCGGCGCAGCAAACGCCGCGACTGGTTTGTAAAGCCAAGCCGACGCACCACTTTTGACGCTTTGAGCAAACTGAAGTCAGCGGCAAAAGGGGCTGGGGGCTTTCTAACAGGCCTTCCGAACTATTCTTCCAGCCATAACGGAGGTTCCCTCGTCAGCGGACCCAACCTCCACCTGCTCACTGGTTCTCTATTTCGAAACGCCAAGAATGGCCCCTAGGAGTCGTTCAAACATTTGCCTACAACAGCGCGCCTGAATCACCGGAGGGGGCTGGCATCCTTTGTTGGGTTGTGTTCCAGGCACATGTTCACTGGGGATAACACAAAAAGAAAGCACATGGAAGTTGCAAGGGCTGTTTTCAAGCAAAAGGCAACCGAATCTTTTGCAGGTCCATATCCTGTTGAACACGCACCTAAAATTGAAGGCACCCACGCAACAATGTCACAATAGTTCAAATACTGTACATTATAGACTTATAACTTATATCCAACACCAATCCCCGGACGTCGATTGCTACGCGCGCCGCGACTCAGCTCGCGTGCGACTCGCCTGTGAGCTCCATGACCATCTTCCCCTCGGGGTCCAGGTCGTCGATCTCCTGAACCAAACAAGTGCTACCAAGCAAAACAACCAAGTCAGCCAAACAACTAAAAATCACATCAGAACCAACCAACCAACCAACCAACCAACCAACCAACCAACCAACCAACCAACCAACCAACCAACCAACCAAATACCAAACACATCCGGGCAAACTAGTGCCAGGGTAAGTTAAAACGAACTACAAAGGGGTTGCGAGGGTACTATTCATCCAACATGCCTCATGATAATGGGAGAATGGTGACAATAATCATTTGTATAACCCGTCTTATCTGGGCTCCCTAAGGAACGCTGAGTCTAATCAATTCAGCAACTGGCATGAGAACAGCAAGTCAGAAGATTGCGCACTCAACTTTGTTTTTCATCAAGGATGAGCTTGTTTACCCTATGAATCGGTGAGATGTCAAAAGTTTGCTCGGAAACTGATTCAAAATCCGGGTTGTCCATGTCAACACACTTCGACATGTCAAAACATCCCCTTCCACCATGTGCAGTTTTCCTCGTCAACAATCAGAAATGTCACAATGGATGTCGGAAGTCCATTGTCAGTCCCAAAGTGTTAGGTCAAAGTGAACAAACATGTCCAGCGTGGAACTTCGATCGTCACTGGACACAAAAATGTGCACGAAGTGATGGTATTTCGCCAATCTGAATTCATCAATGATGCGAGTTGGAGCTCTGGATTCATAAGTCATAAAAGAGAGGTGGCACCCACCGCAGTGAAAAAGTCCCACTAAAACGGGGACAGCCCCTATGAACTCTTGGGTTGCTATAAATCGGAAGTGAAGGGCAACATGCTTTTTGGAAGGACTTCCTGAGAAATGTCTTCTCGCCCTCCCCAGGCCAACGGCAGACTACCACTCAGAATCTGGAAGAAGTGACCAGCGAGCCTTTTTTGCCCCTGCGGATACGCAACTTGCCGGTCAAGAGGGAGAACGAAGGACAACAAGGTTCTTCTTTAATGGGAATCCTTCTAGTTGCCTACATTCCCATCCGAAGGGGTTGATGACCTCCGAAGCCAACACTACTTTTTTCTGACCCGGTGTGGGCCTCTATAGCCAGGGATCCTTCTCTTAGGATGTCCAAACCTGCAGCTATTTCAATCAGAACCATCTCCAGGATGAACCATGAACCCGACTCAAACGAGCCAAATGGATTAAAAGTGCCTCGCGCCATGCTCTTTTCCCCCAAGCCGAGCGGATGAGACGCCCAAACCCCCAACCCCCCCCCAAGCCACCCCCCCCCCGCTTCCAGCGCCCGTGCAACGGCGAGCCAGTCAGCGCGCCTTGGGGTTCTCGAAGCCGGCGGCCAGGGCCGGGTTCTTGGCCCCTCGCTTGGCGCCCTCCTCGGTCGGCGGCGAGCGAGACACGAAGTGATGAAAAAACGAAGCGGTGGGTGAGCTGGGGGAGCTGATGGTGGGTTTGAATTGGTGTGTCCTGCAAGTTTGAGGTGGTACCCCTGTTTCGTGGTAAAGGAGGAAGAAAAATAATGAAGCCATCTTCAAGGTCCAACCTAAAGAGCAACGCCCAAATGGAGGTCACCCCATAGGGACAGTGAGAACTGAGGCCCCTTCGAGGAAACTCGCAGAAAAAGCCGCGGTTGCTTGCCACAAGCCTAAACCAAGTCACCCGGATTTCTCGGGCAGCGCGAAAATCGGTTAGGGAAAAAAAGTGACAAAGAAAACTTTTAGGCCCCAAGAAAGGAACGAAATAAGCAACAACAAAAAGAACAGAAACACACTCGTTCCATCTAATGGGGCCGGCGGTAAAGGGATTCGTGTCCACTTGTTTGGCGTCATCTTCCTTGGGCTACAACGAGAGCCAGGTTGAAACATAAATGTCCAGCTGATGATAACCCCCCAACCAATTCACAGGGAACCTGACAGACTCTGCAAGTTCTAGCAGATTGACAAGGAACCGCCAACATCCCTATGCACACTGTGCTTTAAACCACCTACCAACTGGTGCGAAGTCGACTTTGTCCATCCACAGAGTGAAATCAAGCAGAAAGTCGTCGATCCCAAAGACAATCACGAAGGAAACGTGAGAACCCCAAGAGGATCTGGAGGTTCGCGGGAATTCTGAAGGGGAAGGGGCAACTGAAAAACACCGGAAAATGGATCTCCCTTGAGGGAATCATCACAAGCTTCTGGAAGATCTCGACCCCTTCCCCAAAAACTCCTCTGCTCCTCTCACCCGGATTCCAACGCCCCTTTTCTCGCAACCTCCGGGCCCATCCGATCCGGACGCCTTGGCGCGGTTCAGGATGCCGTGGCCCACGAACCTCACCAGCTTGTAGGTGTCCGCCAGCTTCAGCTCCTTCACCGTTCGTGCAGACCTCGGCCAGAGAAAACTGGCCGCCCGGACCAGAACAGTCCCCCACAAAAACAAAAAACAAAAAACGGCAAGAGCTCCTTTGGCAAGCAGAAGGCGAAGCTTGAAAAGGACCAAGAGGCCTTGTTTTGATGAGGGGAACCTGTATGAAGAAAATGACCAGCCAAAAAAGGTACCCAGGCCCAAAAGGAACTCAAGAGGCTGGTTTGGAGTTTCTACACTTGTGTAGGGCTTTCTATCCTTCAACCCGGCCGATTCAAACCCCCTTGGCTGTTGGCCCGGGCATCCCTGGCCATGAGGCTTCAAGTCCCATCAGAGTCACCCCCCGTGAAATTGTTCACTGAACCTGCGGATGGTCAGGCCCACTCGCATCGCCAGGCGGCATGGTGAAGTGGAACATCCTTCTCTCCTTAGGTTGAAATGAGCCTTCCTGGGATGCCACAGCGGGCTTCGGCCGCTGCTTTTGTTCATGTTTGCTCCGTGGATCCCTTAATGAAACAGCAAATGGCATACCGAAAACCCGGCGTTCCACAACCGTGGCACGGTGTTTTGACATCACAAAAGAGAAACTAAAATACATATATGTCCCCGGTGTGGCGGTTTGCATCAGTGGCTTGGCTGAGTGAGTGCGATGAGTGGTGTGTCATCTTGCCTCAATGAGGCCAAGTCTTTAAATACCCAAAATACCCAAACCACAGATCCACCGAGCCCGCCCCCCCTCCCTTCCCACCAAAAAAAAGAAAAGAAAATGAGGAGTCTCTGGCTAGCTGAGCATATTCGGGGTCAATGTGGGGGCTCAAGCGAAGTATTGCACCCACAGCAGGGCTAAGTAGCGACAGAAGCAGTAGCGAGGGTTATGCGCAAGTTGGGTTGCGCCGTTTTGAGCTTAGCTAGGATTTTTTGAGCTAAGAAAATGGCCTTAACTTTTCGGGGGGTAGTCTTCGACCTCTCACATGTTTGGACTCTCCACCAAAAAGAAAAAGAACAAAACACCTCCAATCTGAACTCTAAACGTGAAATGATTGAATCCCCCTCCTTCACCCGCTTGGTGTGACTCCTCAAGCCCCCTGCAAACCAGCCCATGCACGGCTGGGCTGGGCAGGCTCAACAAAGCCTAAATAAGCTTAATTAGGCCTAAGCAAGCCTAATTAAGCAAATGTCAAGCTTGCTCAATTAAACTTAATCAAAGCTTGATGAGGCTTTATTAGGCAAAATTTGCTTATTTAAGCCCTCCTAGTTTTGCCAGCATATCAAGGCCGCAGGGAGTGTTGTGGGGGGGGGGGGGGGTCCGACCAAGCAAGGATACCAATTCGGGGAAGGGCTGCACAAACAAGAGACTCCGAGACTCCCACCAAAATAAGAACTCGCACGGCGGGAGACCTCAAAAGCGATTGCCAATTGCTTCAAGCATTTAATCGGCGGAGAAGCTTGAAACCAGCCCCCAGAGAGCTCGCAAAGCTTGGCAATGTTCAGGCGAAAAAGAACCCACCCCCATTCAGCTTCCACTTGTTTGGCAGGGATTCGACATAACCCACCTTAAAACCCTTGCCCACAAGAAAGACGTGCCCCTTGAGCCTGCTGGCCAAGGTATTGTTCTCTTTCGAGGAGCTCCGAGTGGCTCGCCAAACGTATTTTTCCCCTTCTGCAGGGGCGTTGGGATTCCGAAGATCTGGTGAGCCAGGGACAAAGGGCAAATTGGGTCTGTCCATAAAGGCGAGGAACAAAAAAAGCCCGCACACTCTTGAAGCATCTTGGGATTCTTGGGTCGGCATGCCGGCTGCTTCTGAGCTTCAAGGATACCCCACAAGGAAGACATTTTGTCTTTCCTTTTGGAGGGAGGGGAAGTGTTAGGTTGCGAAAACAAGAGGAAATCCACCATCTTACAAAACCCCAGATTTTCACACATACCTAGAGGGCGGTTGGTGCACCAGCGCAGGGAACTTACACATCCAGGGATCTCCTTGGTAGTTCAGTGAATCTAAATTGGCTCTACCAAATGGGTTCCTTTCAGATCCTACACACATCACTTTTGTGCAAGCGATCGCACCCCGTTCAAGGTTCCCCAAACAAAGCTTTCTGACCTTTTGGGGGTATGGGCTTGGGCTTGCCACCTTCCATCATCTAGATTCAAGAGAGTCAAACTGTGTCACTACTTCAAACAAAAAATAATGGCAGCGCCTCATTTCGCAAACCCCCCACGTCCCGTAGATCCCGGAGGCAACGAGGCCGGGGCCTCGCTTCTTTTTTGATACGGTTTGGCAGCTGGGGAGTTCCGAGCGTCCAGGGCCTCGTTGAGGATGGGGATGATGTCCACGGTGTGCGACAGCTGGGAGAACTCCTCCTTCGCGGCTTCGGGAAAGGACTTGGGGCCATTGAGCTGGTCGTTCAACGCGCGGTGAAACGCAACATTGGCGAGTCTTTCTAGAATTGCTGTTGGCCTCCTTTTAATACCGTCCAAAAAGGCGCCCCCTATTTGGAGACACTCCCATGTGTTCTTCAACCTTTTGGCTTCCCTTGAAACCCATCAACTAGGGAGCACAGCCATCCCGCCCCTCAAAAAGAAAAGGGAAAGAAGCCCGGACAGTGTCCCCAACAGCCCCTTTTGAACTCTTGTTTTGAATGCTCCTGAAAGCTGCCCCAAACCACGAGCCTATCTGGGCCATAGCCTTTCAGCTGGGGGAAGTGATTCACCGTCAACCAGCAAATGTCGAAGCACCTCTTGAAACATGATCCGATGTTGCTCAACGCATTCAGAAGCCTTGTGGATTGTTCCCCTACAACCTAATGGTTTCCTCTAAAATGGGAAACCGCCATTTTGAACAAGGAGGAGAAAACTGGAATTCGGCGAAGAGGAAAGCTCGAGTTTGTTCCAAAGAGTTCAAGAGAATAGCAATTGAGGCCCCCTCTAGGCTTGGACCACGCCTTGGGGGGGGGGGGGGGGAAAAAAGACATGTGCTACCCCTACTAAGAAAACAAGAACAGAAACTCCTTTCGGAGCCCTTTCAAAAGGTCCGATGGCTTCCAACTTTCAGCCCTTTGCAATCTGGAGAACCAGGCAAAACAGCAACCCCCTAGTTAACCCCCGGATAGATTCCCTTTCAATGTACCAGTTCATGTTGAGCCAAATCACGCGCCAAATACCAACCCGACTTAGGAGGCTCCACCTCCCATCCGCCTCCAGGATGGATGCGAAGGTCTGCACGGGTGGCGCCTTTGCAAACTCTGGCAGTCCGAAGACGCCCCCGCAGAGGTCGATCTGCATGACGCTGCAGGGCCCTTCCCCCTCCACCAGGTAGAAGTCGTTCACCTCAGCTTCCCCACTTAAAGGGGCGATCGATTCGGTACGTCAGGTAAGCGGTTGTGATATGGTGCGAAAACCTGCAAAAGCCATGGTTATAAGTCTCGGGTCATAACCAGGCTTACAACCACTTACTAAGTACCCTGCACGTTTAAGTACAAGGTGCTTTCGAATGTTTCCCAGTGTCCCAAGCGCTCAACGCTTATGCCTCATCCACCCATCACGGATGGCCTTGGGGGTGGTCGACCCGAATAGCGATCGGAACTTCTCCGTCTTCGCCATCTCGTCCTCGACGCCTTGGTCTCCGATCCCCTTGTGCCGTCGCCTTCCCACCCCTGAACCCAAACCAAAAGCACCTCCAAAAGGGTCGGAACAAAAAGCGGAGGGCTGCAATAGTTCCAGGCAGCATTTAGGCTTGCCTCCAAATAGGGGAAGCCTCAAAACATGGTGGTTGCCTTGATTTTCCTTCAAGCTGACCCCAAAGGATACCCTCAAAACAAAACACCAGCCAGGCGTGCCAAACTCCAAACTTGGGTTCATCCAAGGCACACTCCTTGGAATCAAACTTCATGACAGAGGCAGGCATGGGAACTCCATCTGCCCTGTAAGGAGTGAAAAAGAAGACGGAGGCTCCAGAGAAGCTCAAAGACACACGCTTCAGCTTCATCTTGGCGTACTTGGCAGGCTCCTTCAGCTTGTAGAGGCTGTTCAACTGGTCCTTGGAGAAACACACGGTAAAAAAACCGCCAAAAGAGGGATGCAGGGATGTGCCAAAAAACGGAAGCAAAGAGGGTAAGCGGTCCTAACCCTAAAAATTGCAGAGGGGGGTAGTGGTTTGGAGATATTCCGCGCTGGTGTCCCACTCAGGTCCAAATCCAACTCAACTACCAATCCAAACGCTTCGGGCTACCTGACGGTGGGAATGTGCCACAAATGGTTGGAAACAAACAAACAAACAAACAAGCATGAAGTGGGACATTTGGCAAAATGGGTCAGAGGCTAGTGTAGGGGAAAGCGAAAGGGCCCCCAGACCAAAAAAGCCGTTGGCGGCTTGGAAGTGTCGCATTTTGTGATGGAGGGAGGTGTACAGTGCAGGGGAAAGGGGCCCAAACAAATGGAAGTGGGGTTAAGAAGTGTCGCAAAAGCGAGGGTCCCCCAAAGGTTGAAACCCTGTTAAGGGGTCAGTTGGACCAAGAAACCACCCGGCGGGGGGGGGGGGGGGGGTGACGGAGGGAAGGGGCCATGCCCCGAAAACGTCCCTTGCACATGGAGTATGTTCGTGTCCACACGTTGGCGAAACGCCAAACTCGGGTGCTCATTTTGTTACGTGGAACAACAGGCGAACCCCCAAAGTGTTCAATGGCTGTTTGGCTTCCCGCGGTCTCGTTTCTGGAGATGAAGGGAAGGCGAACCCTGTTCCCAAAAGGATGATCACAACGACTTGAATTTGAAATATTGCTGCAAATGGCATAGAATTACTTAAAACGGTCATGAATAGCTTAATATTGCCAATCATGGTTCTAACATCGTCTCAAAACAGCTTAAAGTTGCTAAAACTGCTTGACAACAAGTTGAGCTGGCTCAACTTTGCTTACAACAGCAAAACGACGCAGAAACCGCCGTCATATTTGGCTAAAAAACACTGCGTTTCAATCTTCAAACAGCGGCCATGCTACAGCTTCCCCTCCTTCCCCCTGCACCGCTCCCATCGACCAATGTTTTCGAGCAGCCTTAGTGAGCAGCGCGGCGTCCCCCAGGAGCTCACGCTGCGCCGTGACATCCACGGCCTCCATCGCAGGCGCTCAGGGGACACATGGGTGGCTCGTCTTTTGTGGGAATACCCCTGTTTAGTTTTTGTTTGGGAAACCCAAACAGAAAATAGAAGCCATATTGATTTTGGGGTCCCCTAAACAAGAACAAATTGTGTCTTAACATAGGGGACCCAAAAATATAGTTTCCTGTTCGCTTCCCTTTACACCATCCAACAAGGGTACCGTCAAAAGAGAGGCACCCCCAAATACCTTGCGAGAAAGTAACAGGCAAGGAAATTGCACCATGTACTTTCACTCGGCCGAAAAAGAAAAAAAAACACTCCCATGTCAAATGGTCCCTGATCAACAAGAATCCTCAAACAAATTTGGCAACCACAAGTATTGACCTGGTCGTGGAAAATGGCCCCCGTTCAAGCTACACCATTTAGTGAGGTTTGGTGGCTCAACTCGGTTCACAAAAACAAAAATGGAATTGTGTGTTTCCTGTTGGCCTCCTTTTTGGAAAACCAGTACCTGGAGTCTCCATTACTCTTTAAAATGGGTCAATAATCCCATGATTTTGGGTAATGACCCCCCATTTTTTGAGGGTCACGGAGCTCCAGGTACCCTCAAAAAGAGATACACCCCTGGTCTTTGGCTAGTAGCACCCCCCCATCGCCGGCCTCTTGGCTCTTCGCAGCTGCGGCATACTCGTCGGGGATGCAGAAACCCTCGTCCGCCGCGAGGGCAACCTGAAGATCAGCCCTCGAAGTGGTTGACTCATGCGTTTCGGTTGCCTACGGGTGGCTCCTCTTGAGGCGACCGACAAAAACATGGTCACCCATTTTCAAACCAAGATCTCCCCTTGAAGCAGCGAAGCGAAGCAAGTCCCTGGCCTCTTGTGAGGAAATATCCGGACCAGCCATTGCAAAGGGGAACCCGGGCACAAGCCTTTCTCTCGCAAGGCCGTGAAAACATGCAATATTCACTTGTGCCGAAAAGCAGCGGCAGTCGGCTGAATATATATATATATATATATGTGTATGTGTAGCCGGCCCACACATGGGGCGGAAAATTGTCGAAACTCGGGCTGTGGGTGTTGGAAGTCAATATGCCCAGGACTACATCGGCAAACAGTTGCCTTTCTCAAAATACGGCGAATTCTGGCTTCGTTTTTCAGGGTGCAACGAAGCAAAAGCACATGCGTGCGTTGTTTCTGGAGCTTCAAAGCACACATTGAATTCCTCAATGTCCCAAAACAAGACCAGCTAGAGTCAACTGCAAAAGGTTCTGAAGAAGCAAATGTCCAGTTGTTTTCTCTTCTGGTAAAAAGGATGGCAACTCCAGAAAGCATGACAGCAGGGTTCCAAATCGGTTTTTCCCGCCGCAAGGGCGGTTTCTAGCAACTTGTTTCTCAAAATGTTTGCGTGTCCAAAAACAGACCACTTTGAGGAGGCTCAAACATTTGGTTTGAAAACATCATCTTATTAAAGGAACCCTGATAACACTGTCCCATACCAAGCTCAACAATCAGACTTCGAAAAATACAGCCATGACCCCCCGCCAGAATCGGGTTTCGGCGCTTCTGAACGGCTACTTGGCAGCCCTTCTCTTCGCAGGTTGCCAGGAAAACGAAAAAAATCGAAATGGAACCTTTAAACAACCAATGGAGGTTGTAGGCCCGCGTGCAAAATGAGACTGCAATTGTGACTGCTGTAACGATGGGCTCGTCGCTGCCTCCTTTTCCCTGGGTGGGGTCTGTGTGGGTGCATCTTTGCGCTGACTTTGCTGCGTTCTTCATTCTTGGGTGACTTTCAGCTTGGGGGGCCGGCTCTCGGTCAATTACGATATTGTCTGGGATCTATTGTCTCAGTCTTGCTGTGCGCTCTGTGCGGCATGCATTCTCGGTTGCCTGAGAGAAAGGAGGCTAGTGGGCTGTCCCATTGGGGGACTCACAGGCGTAGGGCTTCCGGCTCAGCGCTGTCGGGCTTCGGCGGTGATATGGTTTTTGTAGGTATGAAGTTTGTCCTCGTGGCACGTTGGAAGTTTCGGCACCCTGCGGGGAACTGAATCGCCTGCGCAGCCGATTGCAGCGGTTCACTTCTGACACGGTGGTGATGGTACACTGAGTACTGCTGCCACGAAGCGATGTAGAGCACGCTGCGGGGATGAACGTCAGCTGCGATTGATCTATGCATGTCCACTTTCACTGCTGGGGACTTCCTTTGCCATACAGGGTTTTTGGGTGGTTTGGTCGCTTTCCTTAGCCATCTTAATGGAGCATGGCGTTGAGCCAATGCAGCAGATACAAACAGAGGACGCATGGGTACCGCTCCGTGCAGCTTGCGTTCTCGATGGCCTGGGAGAAATGAGGCCTGGTGTGCGGTCCCTCTTGGGGACTCACAGGCGTAGGGCCTAGTGTTTCACTTCCCACCTTTGCCGTTACCCTTAGGGTGATGGCCATTCTGTTGGTGATTGATGCTTGCATTCCTTGTTTGGCATGTGGGAAAACGCAGCCTAAGTGCTGTGCTGTGTACCTGGCCTTCTGCCCCGTGTTTTCGGACATGGGCTAATTAGGGAATTTATTTGCTTGGCGCTTTTCTGAAGCTTCTTTTGTGCCGCAAACGTTCTGCTTGTCGACCGGCGATTATGCTTCAGGCGGCATGGGGGAAGAAAAAGAGAGAGAGAGAGAGAGAGAGAGAGAGAGAGAGAGAGAGAGAGAGAGAGAGAGAGAGAGAGAGAGAGAGAGAGAGAGAGAGAGAGAGAGAGAAAGAGAGAAAGCGAGAGAGAGAGAGAGAGAGAGAGAGAAGAAAAAAAATGGAACGCTTTGTGGAAGTCGGTATGTTGAGCACGCAGCGCGTTTTGACTGGCAAATTGAGGCGGAACCTGTTGGGTCACTGTAACGCTACTCATGAATGGTTGTGGTGGTGTGGTAACGATGATGATGATGATGATGATGATGATGATGATGATGATGATGATGCTGATGCTGATGCTGATGCTGATGCTGATGCGATGTTGATACTGACGGGGGCGCTGCGCGATGGTGAATTTGAAGGAAAAAGAAAGCCAATATTGACCCACATAGATTCATCGCAGCTCTTCGTGGCGGTAGTACTTAGCCATGTACCATCACCACAGTGCCAGAAGTGAACCTCGCTGGAATCGGCTGCACAGGCGATTCAGTTCGTCGAGGGGTGCCGAAACTTCCAACGTGCCACGAGGACAAACTTCGTAACTGCAAATAACCATTCCACCACCAAAGCCCCGCAGCACTGAGCCGGAATCCCTACGCCTGTGAGTCCACCGAGGGGACAGCACACCAGGCCGCCTGTCTCGCAGGTCACCGAAAGCATGCCGCACAGAGAGCACAGCAAAACTGAGACAGAAGATCCCAGCCAATATCATGATCATAAGAAAAACGGATCCCGTATATAACATCACCAAGGAAATGAAGCATCCAGCAATGCCAGTTTCAAGAAGTCCCACATAGATCACCCTTAGGGAATAGAATGCAGCAAACGGACCGCTGCGAATCCGCCGCCATGGCACGTCATGATTTATGCCATGGCACGTTATGATTTATGGGCGGGGCCCTGTTACAGATGTTTTTCAGATGCTTGCCATGGATGCTACGAGCCAGATCCCCAGGACTGCCTCAGCCTTCTCAATTCTGAAAGAGCAAGGACAACGAAACGAAATAAAAATAGCCGGCGAGGAGCTAAACACCAAGCCACCCCGGGCCAAGAGAGCGCCTAGAGGCACATGTGAAAGGCTTGGTGACCCTTACGGCTAACAACCTTTATTGAGCCAAAAGGGGTTGGCATAAATAAAGCCAAAGGGCTTGCGACAACGATCCGTGTCTTGTTCTCAAAGAATGGGGAGACAAAATGATAGGAAATAACTCGTGATATGGGAATTAACGTGGAGTCGCAAACCTGTTTATAGCACTCACAGTGATATACAAATACGTAAAAGCATCAAGCCAAAAAAAAGGATCACCAATGCAAAACAGGTCAAACTCCACTCTTTTTATTTTTGTTTCATTCTTCGCTCTTTGAGTATTGGCTGGAGTCACACAGGGCTCTGATATCGTGAAACCTGTACGCCTGTGAGCCAAGGGACAGCAAAACTGAAATAGAAGATCCCAGCCAAAATCGCAATTGTACGAAAACCAACTCGCAAAAACAAGGCCCACACACATAGCCAAAGACGCAAAAAAGTGCGCGAAGACTTTCCAATGTCGATGGCATCGATGGCGTCTCGCACTCCAGGGTCGCCGGCGATGGCTGTTGGAGCAAGGTTGGAATTCCGACCTCGGGCAAAAACGTGTCCGTTAAGGCATGTTGCTAGCTTGAACCCAAACATGAACCCCCAAAAGAACAAAGCAAGTCCGAAGCGGCCGCAGTTCTTTTTACCGGGATTGCTGAAAGTAGCACTGCTTCCAGGGCACTGGTGCGCCTGGAACAGGAGGTGCGTTGACCCCCCCTTCAGTGTTTCAGGCAACCCCGGTATAAGCGAGCCAGCTGGGCCGCCGGCCTCATCACCCGCCCTTCAGAGTGGGGTTGTACCTGGCAGGGCAAATGTCCGCGTGACAATGCACGCTTGCGGCTGTGAGCAGCCTGTTGCTCAGGGTCTGCACTTTTTTCGGTCAGAGCGGCTTGATGTAAGCGGCTGGCTGACGCAGCCAGTTGTTCTGGCTGACAGGGCGAAGACGGCCATTTGGTCGCAATGCATGTTGGGATGCAAATAAGGCTGGCTAAGCAGTGTGTTCCGGGCGCCAGGGCGCATCCATCGGACACAGCTGAATGCCTCGGCCTGACATTGCTAGGCCCGCAGGGCTGAAGCGTATGCGACTTTCAGGGCGATGGCTGAATCGGGCCAACCGACCTCTGCTGAGATCGTCTGCCCAATCATTGCACCTTCCTGGAACGTGCGTCGGCTGCAGCAGCACATTGTGAGCGTGAGCCCAGAAGGCTGTTAACTGCACGAAAAGTTGCAACGGCCAGGAGGTCGTGAACAACTTGTTAAGGCTTGCTTCCGTTGCGGAATTGTCCGTGCCTGAAGGCATGCTGAACGAGTAGTGCCCACCACCAATGTGGCTGTGGGTTGCTTGCAGTAGTGCTAACTGTGCCAGCGTCTCGAAACATGCGATGTACCGCTGTCCAGGCTTGACAAGGCAAGGCCATACGGCCCGTGTGTCCCGCATGTTCCAGGTTTCGGCAAACCAAACCACTTGGAAGGATGTGATTGCCCAGCCCCCTATCCCTACCAAGTCGTCTTCGGCACACGCATCCGCGGCAGCCAGTGCTTGCAGCTGGTGTGGCCGCGCCAAGGGCTGAACGGGCGAGTGCTGAAAGCACAACGCCAGCCATGCAAGGCATTGCTGGCTTGACTTGGAAAGGCTAGTATATGGGTTATTGGGGTCCGCGATGCGCACCCACGTGGGTTTGCTAGTGCCGGGCACCCGCGGGATGTCCTGAGGGCAGTGCATGGTGCGACCTGAAATTTCCAAGATTTTGGAGCCCACTCACTGTGATCCACAAGCCGGGAAGGCTATGGCTGGTTTTGAGATCCTTGTTCAAGGATGCTCTGAAGGCTGACCACATTTGAGGCGGTATCGAGCGCATCGAGCCTGGTGGGCTGTTGAGGTCCGAGTATAGTGGCGCTAGCCAGGATCTCAGATGCAGTGCAGTGCTGGTGGCCCAAATGAGCAGGCCTATGCGCTGCTCAAGTGTTTTGCGGAGCACCCGGCTTTTTTTCAGCAGTGCTTTGATCAAGGCGTCCAGCTTGGTCAGCTTAGCGGACACGAGCTGAATGGTGTCGTGGGAGAAGTTGATCTCCCAGCCGCACCAAACAAGGCTGTCCTGGAATTGCGCCTTTTTCCATGAAATTGGCGCCGCAATGGCGCAAAAGAAAAGCACCACCAAGGCAAACATATCTGGCGCGCTATCTCGGAAGAGTGCACACAGAAGGTCGTCCACAGAAAGGA